TAAGTAAATATTTTATTCTTTTATAAATCATCACGGTTATATAAGATATACACTCGATATTGTTATACACCTGCTTATAAACCTGCTATGGAGCGCAAAAAGGAAGCGAAGGAGGATGCAAAGGAGGAGGCAAAGGAGGAGAAAAGCGGTATGTATGAACGTTATAATGATAGTAATTAATAAAAATATTAATGACAATTAAAATTTCTTGGTTTATTTTTATAGAAAAGTAGATGAAATGCCGCCACAACACCACCGCGCATATAGAGGTGGGCGGGGCGTTCGCAAGTGGGTTTTGCGGCGACAAGTGTAGGCAGCCATACAGTCCGTCATGCGGAGCATTACCGCAGTAGCAGGTGTGCGGCATGTTTCGCAGACGGACCTACGTATGCCAGATGGGGCGGTCGGTGGGACCAACCGGGCCGCAGCCTTACTAAAAAATAAGAGTTTGTATGTTAACTGTTTTTAAAATGATTTAAAACGTTTTTTTTTGTTATATTTATTTGTTTTATAGATTATGTAGTATAATAGTAGTAATTGTAATAGTTAATAGTTAATTATATAGTTATAATAGTAATAAGTAATAATTATAATAGTAATAGTAATAGTTAAGTAATAGTTATAATAGTAATAATAAGTAATAGTAATAGTAATAGTTATAATAGTAATAATAATAGTAATAGTTATAATAATAATAGTAATAATAATACTAATAAAAATTTGGGAATATAATATATAATAATAAAAGTGATAATAAAAAGTAATAAAAAATGTAATAATAAAAATATTTTTAAGGAGCCGGCCCTGTAACAGAAAGAATATTACAATTATTAAAAGAATAAATAGAATTTTGTAAATAGTGGAGACAGTAGAGGAAAATTGTAACAAACCTTGTTTTTAATAAGGCCTATCACGTTGGCCCCGGCCGCGTTGGCCTCTCCAGCCACCTCTGGGATGGGAGCGCTCGGCCGACCGTCTGTTCACAACTGCTATGGATCATATGACGGACAATATATCCTGTTGTGTTCGAGCTTCTTCTCGCTCCCGTCGCTCTCTAGCAATGCTGCCGGTTCTATAGCCGCGACGGCGCCTTGGCGGCATTTCATTTTCTTTTTCTGTAAAAATAAAACAAGAAATTTTAATTTTCATTAATATTTCTATTATTTACTATTATTATAACGTGTAATGTTACTTTAAGGTGAGTTTACTCAAGCAACATCACGTGTCCGGACGACCTTTGAGTTTATGCCACAAAGGAATGATTTCACAACGGTTTTCTAATTGAATTAATAATACGTTTATTATAATATTATTCAGTCATGCACAATCGGTTGAATACACTATTAATACACTGCACTTGTTAGATATGAATGTCTTTACAAACTTCTATGATAAAGAGTACTTCAAATACGTGCCGTAGCTTTCTTATTCTTTACTAATACCTTCACGGAAATTCTCCTTCCTTATTACTGAAGGTCCAACTAATAAACTCTTACGTTTATGAACAAATTGACTACTCACCAAAGGTGAATGTCTTTTAACGAACAAATAGAGAATAACTTGATTATACCATCCTATCTTATAGAAAGCTTACGGTCCGTCCAAAAACTAACGACTCTCTCCTATTTCTTACTTCTAACTGCTCTCTACCGATTCTCTTTTACTGATCTCTCTCTCTCCTAGCTCGTACCCTCAGTTTTTATAATGCGCGCGCGGAGGTGGGGAAGTTCGTCTCCTCGTACGCCTCTAGAGGTTCAGTTGCATGCAGTTAGATGGCGTATGAATGTCGATATCCGCTGATATCTTACAGATCGACCATCCTGACCTTACATTCATCTCGAATGTCGTAGTTAATTAATCAATTAGCTCAAACAAAGACATTTATATTCATTTAAGTGACAATCTGTGAATTAGTGAACTTTGCTGTTCCGATCTTAATTGTAAGTATATCAAATCTTATTTCTATCTCTTTCTCAAGAAGTATAACTGGTCCAAAGCCTTTATGTACTAATCAGCTAACAAGATTATTCTCCGGTACCTTAATTGTCTTGATCCATGGTTTGATCTTATCCGACGATAAAATCGAATTGTATGGTCTGGCCGTAATGTTAAAACCTGGTATTTCTTTAATAACATATTGGTTATTATTCAAAACTTTCGATACTAAATATGGGCCTTTATACTTATGTTTCAGTTTTTTATTAACATCTGGTTTAGCCTGAAGATCTTTAATAAGGACAAATTCACCCTCTTAACAATACCCTCTTAACTATACTAAGTAGGCTTTTTATGAATTGAATCATAATTGGACTTGTTATACTGCTTAAGTCGGTTAGTCGCTTCCAACGCCAAATTGCTTGCCTTCGAACGCTCTTTCTCTAATTCGGTATCAATTTTTGTTATCGCTCGCACGAACTCGCTTAAATCTTTATCTGCGTGATTGCGTTGTTCTATACCTAATAATATTTTACTTGGCGTTGTATTAATAGATGTATGGTGAGTGTTATTCAATACATACTGAATTTGACTCAATTGCTTATTCCATTTGTCTGTTTTTTCCGTCGTTCTTGAAAGGGACGATTTTAAAAATCTATTTACGCGTTCCGCTATTCCATTAGCCCAAGGAGCGGCTACTGCTACTTTTTGATGATTAATTTGATATTCTTTTATAAACTCGGCAAATTAAGACGAAGTAAAAGCTGTACCTCGATCAGAGATCATACAATTAGGAGCACCGAATACATCGAATATCATACGCATTAATTTGCAGGTTTCACGTGTTCCAGTCGTACGCGATGGATACAACCAAGAGAATCTGGTGAACGCATCTACAACTACCAAAATATATTTATAACCTTCTTCAGTCGGCTGTAAAGGACCAAAATGATTTACGTGCATTGTCTGCAATAGAGTAGAGGCAACAGAGACTATCTGCATTTCTCCTTCATTGCCATGTCGTGACGCATTCGCTAATAGGCAAATGATGCAATTCTCTATATAATCCTTTATTCTCTTCCGCATAGTTGGAAACCAATACCGATATAAATTTTGTCTTACGTCTTCTCAATACCGCAATGTGCTAATTGATCATGATGTATCCGTATCAAATTTGTTATCATAGTTTCCGGTATGACAAATCTTGGACGATCTGTAGCTTTTCGATAAATTAGTCCATCAATTAATTGAAATTTCTCATGATCCGAAAATTCTAATTGCTCTGCTAATTTTTTTAAATTTACATCCTGTAACTGTCTGAATTCTAATTCACGTTCTAAAGGAAAAGATTCTACATAAGAAATTCTGCGACTCAAAGCATCCACGTGTTTCATATTGACGTTAGATCTATGTATAACGGTGAAGGTATAATTCTGTAATTGTAAAGTCCATCTTGCTATTCTGGGATTCAGATTAGCCTTGTTAATGGAGTAAACAATTGCATTGCAATCTGTAACTATCTTAAAATTCATACCGTACAAGTAAATATGAAAACGTTGAACGGCTTTAACAATTGCTAACATTTCCAGTTCAAAACTATAATAGTTAACCTCAGCTTTGTTTGTTACCTGACTATAGTATGTTATCGGAGCCCACTGACCCGAAGCTTGTTTTTGCAACAGAATGCCGCCTAGCCCTTGAGAACTAGCATCTGTATGCAACTCCGTTTCAGCCGATGGATCAAAATGTCTAAGAACTGGGTATGATACCAGTTTTCTTTTAAGTTTATCAAAAGCTTGTTTAACGTGTTCGGTTATACAAAATGTTTCGATTTTCTTTAACAAATCAGTTAACGGTTTAGCCACGAGTGCATAGCCTTCGATGAATTTTCTAAAATAGTTTGTTAATCCTAAGAAACGTTGTAACTCATGTATATTTTTTGGAAGAGGAAATGAATCAATTGCCTGTGTATGTCTGTCACTCAATGTGATTCCTTCTGAATTGATTATGTATCCTAAGAATTCTATTTGAGATTTTAAGAAAAAACATTTTCTATAATTTAACTCGAACCCGTATTGTTTAAGAATGATTAAAACTTCTTTAAGTACTTGTAAATGTTCTTCAATAGTATTTGTTGGTATCAAAATGTCATCTATATACACAATTACTTTATCTTTCCGTATGAGAGGCTGTAATACTTGTACTATTCGCTTTTGAAACTCTGCCGGAGCTTCACAATAACCATAATAATCTGGTACATTCAAACTGCCCATTTGGAGTGGCAAACGAAAAGTATTTCATGTGATCCGGATGAACTTTGATCTGGTGAAATCCATCACGCAAATCTAATAAAGTAAAGATTTTTTTATTGGACAATTTTGACAAACAATCTTCAATTAAAGGAAATGGGTATTTTTGTTTTAAAATTCTCTCATTCAAAAGTCTCAAATCTACACAGAGCCTAATTGAATCGTTTCTCTTTCTTATCGGAACTACCCTTGCGCAATATGGTGATACGCTCGGTTTTATAATTCCGCGTTGTAATAAATCATCTGTGATTTTTTGAATTGCTTCTCTTTCTGCTACAGCGAACTTACGCGGAGCATACGCATATGTAGTAAGGTTTTCTAAATTAACTTGCACTGCATAGTCGTCTTCAATTTTAGGTATTTGACTATTTTCTATCTCTAAAATTAATTTTACTAATTTTTCCTTAACCGTAAAACCAAAATCAATTGACACTGATTCTAAAATATCCTCCAAACTATCGTTTTTCGAAGATATTTCCATATCTGCAAATTCTTTATTAAACACATTTAAAACTTGATTATTATTTTCTACCTGAGTAGGAAAAAGGAAATGTACCTTCTCTTGTACAAGGAAATCGCGACCAATTATTATATCTGTTCCTATATTATTTACATTAGCGACATACAACAATATTTGAATACGACGTTCGCCAAAACTATCTAACTTAATTGAAGTAATTATCGAACCAAGAATACTAATTTCTTGACCGTTTACTGTTTCGAAACGATCATCCGACTTTTGTAAATTTTCTCCTGTCTTATTAAAGAAACGTTTATACAATTTAACCGTTATAAGTGAAATTGGACTGCCTGTGTCTATCATGGCATGCAATTTACATTTAATTTTATTAATTTCAAGAACCCTAACATACGGATTCCCAGGCCGTAAATCCTCATGCGACTGTTGATTTATTATTCCTACCAATTGTGATCCATCTCTCGAAGTCGACGCTACTCCTGATCCTGCTTGAACAATAGATGTTATCGACCGACCCGATTGAGCTTGTTCTTTTCGACGCAGTTTATAACAATCTTGTTTGGTATGACCTTTCATCTTACAATAATAACATGTAAGCTCACTGGTGCTATAACAATTTTTAGCTGATGCCCTCGTTTATTACAATTTAGACAAATATTACCTTTATTACCTACAGGTTTGTTGGTTGAGGAAAACGTTTTATCCAATTTGAGAACTCCCTTTGTAATGATTCGCATCTTAACTAAGAATTGATCTACCGTATTTACCTCTAAAGTGAGTGCCGTTGCATTTAACAAGCTAATAGTGATGCCACTAATTAACAGATTAATGATATCTTCTACAGGTAAATTAAGACGATGTAATAAGGCTAATTTGTCAATAGCATATTGGTCAAAAGTTTCTTTGTAATGAAGCCATTTTCTTGCTTCTATTTTCTGCATCGTTATGTGGAATGGAACTCGTTTATCAAACATTTTAATCAAATGATCACTTAATAATAACCATGATTCTAATATCGATCTAGATTGAAAATCAAACCAACGTCGCGCCTCTTTAACCAATTTTGATGAAACGACTAGCAAAATTAAATTATCTTGAATACCGTGAGTAGATGCAACCTGGTTGACCCTTTGTACCTATACGTGGACGTTCTCTGTTTCCATACCTCCGAACTCTGGAATCTAAGATGACACCAAGATAGTATATTCGCAGAAGGCACTGCCATCGTATTCGGAAGAATGACTGGGGCTGCTTGCGCTGGCATAGTCTGCTGACAGAGACCTGCATCCACACCTCCACTGCTGCCAGAAGTCGATTCGCCTTGGTCCGGTGAGACAACAACACCCGTAATATTTCCGTTCACAGCACTTGCTATTTTTGCTAATACTTGCTGCTGCTGGTGCATAGCGACTTTCTGTTGCTCCACGAACTGCTGCTGATTTTGAATACATGTCGTTAATGCGGACATCATCCTCGTGAACATGCTCTCCATTTTTGAATTGGATCCATTTGCAGATGTTGTGGGACGAGATCCTTCCGGAGAAATTGAATCGCCATTTTCCGAAATCAATCTAGCTGTCGGAGCATTAACCATTAGAGTATCCATTGGATGGGTTATCGAAATCATTTCCCTCATCGGGCTATTCAATTCCCAATGGTTTACTATAGCATCAATCAACGAATTCCGATCTCCATGAGCTTTTAATTGATATTTATTGGTTTCCGCTTTCAATTATTCCATCGTCATATTGTCTAAGGCAAGTCGATCCATGATTATCTCTTTCTTGTAACGACCGGGTTTTTTTTTTTTCGAATTACTGTCTCTCAATATCTCTTATTTTCAAGTCCTGCAATCACCTTATACTGTTTATGTTTCTAATGTTCTTCTTAGAGAAACCGTGTGATACCGTAGCACTAATGTGTCACGTGCAATAATACGTGTTCAAAGTCACCAACACTTTCTCATATGGTCTCAAGCGGCAAAAACGTTAACAATAACAGTTAAGTTCAAATGATTTCCAGTAACCACTGTTGATTATCTCAAGGTCTTGTAACAATAACGAGCCGGATTATGTATGTCTTATCCCACTTCTGACGTAGTTGTAATGTTACTTTAAGGTGAGTTTATTCAAGAAACATCACGTGTCCGGATGACCTTCGGGTTTATGCCACAAAGAAATGATTTCACAACGGTTTTCTAATTGAATTAATAATACGTTTATTATAATATTGTTCAGTCGTGCACAATCGGTTGAATACACTGTTAATACACTGCACTTGTTAGATATACTGAATGTCTTTACAAACTTCTATAATAAAGAGTTCAAATACGTAATCTAGCTTTCTTATTCTTTACTAATACCTTCACGGAAATTCTCCTTCCTTATTACTGAAGGTCCAACTAATAAACTCTTACGTTTATGAACAAATTGACTACCCACCAAAGGTGAATGTCTTTTAACGAACAAATAGAGAGTAACTTGATTATACTACCCTATCTTATAGAAAGCTTACGGTCCGTCCAAAAACTAACGACTTTCTCCTATTTCTTACTTCTAACTGCTCTCTACCGATTCTCTTTTACTGATCTCTCTCTCTCCTAGCTCATACCCTCGGCTTTTATAATGCGCGCGCGGAGGTGGGGAAGTTCGTCTCCTCGTACGCCTCTAGAGGTTCAGTTGCATGCAGTTAGATAGCGTATGAATGTCGATATCCACTGATATCTTACAAACGTTAATACATACCGCTTCCTTTTTCTTTCTCTTCCTCCATTTTAATGTTTGTTGCTTCCTCTTTCGAGGAAGAACCGGAGAAGAAAGAGGAGGAGAACTCAAGCAATTTTTGCTCCTCCGCTGATGTTAATTCTGTAAAACAAAAATAAATACAAATTACAGACACGTCAGAAATTAGATATTTGAAGGAATATATTTTATATTCATTTGCACAAATAATATAGAATATCCAGTAACCAGTGTATTTATAGTATACTTGTGATATAAAAAGTTTTTGTACCGATTGTTTCTTGACTTCGGACATGTTCCAACTTCAGGAGAGAAACAACCACTGCTTCACATGCTTGTGCTGTCACATATTACGAGAACTAAAGGAGTAGATATTTATATGCCATTCTTCTGCTCTCGTAATAAGTGACAAAGCAGTGGTTGTCTCTCTTCTGGAATTGGAACGCGTTCCGAAGTCAACAAACAATCGGTGCAGAAATCTTTACATCACCAGTGTAAAGATAAATTAGATCAAAATGAAAAAAAGTTTCCTCTACCATTATGCGAGCAATTAGGTAAAATCTTGAGTTATTAACAGAAGAAGATTCGTTAACAATCATGCGCTACACGGTAAATGAACTATGATAGCAACGTCTGCTGCTGTGTTTGTATATTAGGTCTAACTAAACAAAAAAATTATCTATCATTTTGCAAATAATCACATAGAATTTGTTATAGATTGAAGAAGATTGTTGCATTATTGCGCATAATCACACAACAATCTATATTAATTAATAATTAGACATCAATGTATTTCTGAGCAAAATTATATAGGATTTTCTTGTTTAGTTAGACTGAATATACAAGCACACGGCGGCAGAGATTGGTATCACAGCTCATGTAACGTGTGGCGCATGATCATTAACGAATCTTCTTTTATTAATAACTCATTATTTTGCGTGGTTGTTCACATTGCTACAGGATTTTTTTTCATTTTTACCTAATCTATCTGTACACGAAATGTATAACTTATTGGATAAGTTATATATTCACTCTGTAGAAATTAAAAGATAAAAAGGACGTACCATGGGCCGTATCGGCAGGTGACTCTTCTGTTACTGTAACATACAATTCATAATTTTATTATATTTCACACTTCTTAAATGTAATATTTTTTTTACAAGATATAATAGGTAGGTAGAGATATTCAAAAAGTAAAGATACAAGGCTCATACAAAATTTTATACAGGGTATAGCAAAAGTACCGGAACGGCAAGATAACTCGGCGGGGGAGCATTTTAGAGAAAAATGTTTCAGACAAAAGTTGTAAGGCTTAAAAAAACGCATTCAACGATAGTAGTTATTTGACATAGGATGGCGTCGCCAAGGTCAGAACAAGGTCAACTTTGCTTTTTTAAATAGAAACATATTTTTTATTAATTGTGCAATTTTTATTTCTTGATATTTTTTGGTAAAGTTGATAGAATTCAAGTAAAAAATTATTGAAACCAATAATCTTGTAGATATTTACGTAAATATCTTAGAAAATAGAGGTCATATAAAAAATTTTTTCAAGCAAAAGTTGTTTGCGTTTTTATGTTGAATAAAATGCCGTAATAAAAAATGTGTGTTTCTATTTAAAAAAGCAAAGTTGACCTTGTTCTGACCTTGGCGACGCCATCCTATGTCAAATAACTACTATCGTTGAATGCGTTTTTTTAAGCCTTACAACTTTTGTCTGAAATATTTTTCTCTAAAATGCTACCCCGCCGAGTTATTTTGCCTTTCCGGTACTTTTGCTATAACCTGTATACATGCATAAAAACATTTTTTTTAGCCTTTTATCTTTTCAAATATCTCTTCTTCTTACCTTTCAGACGGCGCATTTTTTAGCTTGGTGACTCCATTGCTAGATACTTTTCTATTTCTATCTGAAAATTAGAATATTTCCATAATACACATTTGATACAAATAAGAATTTTTTTATTCATATATTAAATTCATTCACTGGTTTATAAACAAAAGTCAAGATTCATTTATCAATGACAAATGAGAGATAGTGCTTCATAGGTTACTCTGAACCTCACAGCAAACTGTTACTTTTGCACGCTAGGTCTTCAGTGAGTAGCTGCTGCTTGCTAGAAATGAGTGAAACTGAAGGCAGCAAATTTATTTTTTAACACATTATACAATATAACACTATACCTACACGATAACTTTAGCTTCTAAATAATGTTAACAAATAAAAAATTAAGGAATAATTTCTTAGACCCTGATTTCTTTTTTGCTAACATTAATTAGAACCTAAAGTCATCGTGTAGTGTATTATTAGGTGGTAAACTTAGTTCCTGCGGTTTTTTTGTTTAAAAAACTCATTTATTTCGACATCAAAAGCAAAAAATACATTAATCGAAGTATTTTCCCTCGCTAGCTATACATTTTTCCCATTTTTCGGGCAACACGTAGATTCCGCGACGATAGAACGATTGATCTTTTGATGCAATCCATTCGTCGATCCATTTTCGCACATCCTCGTAATTTCTGAAGTGTGTATCCACCAAACCGTGCTGCATCGACCGGAACAAGTAATAGTCCGAAGGAGCTAAGTCTGGTGAATACGCTGGGTGCGGGAGAACTTCCCACTCGAGCTGCATCAGTGTTTCTTTGACGGCTTTGGCAACGTGTGGTCGAGCGTTGTCGTGCA